TTGGCTTAAGCATTCTCACCTGCAGTCTAAACACAAAAAAGTGATCGTGCTTATCAGTGTGTGTGCATGTGTTTGTCTGGAGTGTATAAATCCCTCGCTATGAGTGTAAAAGCAACAGCTCATTCATTTTTCAGTAAATTCACGTAGCGTCCACAGTCGGTCAAGGTTTCCAAACACACAAAAAAACACAACATTTTTTACAGGTTTTAAATGGCCTGTATTTGTATAGAGCTCCGGGAGTTGACGTCACTTCTCCCGGCATGCAACAGTGCAAATCGAAACGGCGCCATTTGGCAGGCAGAAGCCGGCAGCTGGACTATTTGTTATTGTTAGAAAACTCAATCAAACGGGAAATATGGTAGATTCCTGTTGTGCCCCAGGATGCAGAACAGACACGGACAACATAAGGAATGAGCCATCTACAGGATTCCCCAAGATCCGGAGCGCCGCAAACATTGGATCATTATGATAAAACGCGCTAGTGACCGGGCTAAAATGAAACTGTGGGATCCCGAGAGTAAAGGATTTCGCTTATGCAGCGACCACTTCATATCAGGTACATAAACCAACGTTTCCTCAACTGTGTATGGTATTTATTTTAAATGTTTTTATTACGATTCTTAGTGGGCTTCCTAAAATTATTTTGGCGTGGCTTTTTCTGTCTTATTACTCATAGCAACAAGTAAACATCACGTAAAATGTTGCCTCGTGATTTCTGCGTGCTGCCGTTTACGTGTTTTATGATCACAGCAATTAACCGGCTAAGCTGTATTGAATTTTTAAGCAATGGTTGATCAATTGTCAGATCACACATAAAAAGCACTTTGGATTGCTATTATCTGTCTCACCGAGTCAGATCTCAGACAGATCCTGAGACGCTCCTGCTTGACCTATTTATTTTATTCACAGAAAAAAATCAAACTAGTGATTTCTCTTGGCGTTCAGTTTATACATTCAAACAGCACAGCACTCTATTTAAACTACTTACGTGTAAATCTGTTATTTGTCCATCCATTTTCATCCGCTTATCCGGAGACGGGTTGCGGGGGCAGTAGCCGAGAGGCCCTGACTTCCCTCTCCCCAGCCGCCGGAGCCAGCTCCTCCGGGTAAATCCCAAGGGGTTCCCCGGCCAGGTCCAGTAAGAAGTCCGCTCCGACAGCTTCTGGTGTCGGAGCGGGCAGTAGCGTCGAGAGTCCCAGACCTCTCCCCAGCTCCTCCGGCCGGGGGAATCCCAAGGGGTTCCCCGGCCAGGTCCGGTGTAGTCCGCTCCGACAGCTTCTGGCGTTTTTAAAAAGTATCCCAGGGGCACGGTAAGGGTCGGAGATGTTTAGTCTATTTAATTTCTGACTATATAAAACTATTTCTTTGGTTTTAAAGTGTAAACTCCAACGAAGTAAAATCCAAGCGGATCCTGTTCACGTTCATGGTTACATCCGTGTTTGTTTACCTTTTTTTCCCTGCCAAAATGGCGTCTACTAACTGAGAGTCACGTGGGGTCCGGAGCACTATAGCACCTTCTTGGGAGTCTCCAACCCCCCCACCCCCCCGACACTTTATAACACAATCAATCATTCACACTCACATTCATATGCTGGTGGTAATGAGCTATGATGCGGCCACAGCTGCCCTGGGGCGCACTGACAGAGGCGAGGCTGCTGAACACTGGCACCACCGGTCCCTCCGACCACCAGTGGCGGCTACAGAAATTTTTTTCTGCAGGTGCTGTGAAGGAGCTAGTCTTTTTATTGAGGGTGCTATGAAGGAAGTGGTCATGCGTACCTATTGTTCTCTAAAACAGTGTTTGGTGGAACAGCTCCGTCATCACGTTACACCTTCAACACTAGCAGATACACATGCGTGCACAAAACCTCAACAACACCTGAAACAATCATTAATATACATCATAAACATGTGAACAATCGCTGACTTTTCCATGAAATCATAAACACATACAGCCACACAGAAAACCATCTATAGTGTTGCAAGTTTAGCTAACGTTAGTGTTAGCATTTCCAGCGGCAAAACCCTCGACTGCTGCGGCGGTTGAGGGTTGACTCTCTTCATCCAGATCCGTAGGTTTTTGTGGGTCTGAGATCACTTCCAAAGGTTCATTCGTTTCTGACTGAACCCGTGGCAATTTGGGCAACTAAAACGGATCCATTTTACCACTAGCTCTACCTTTCACTCGTTCGCAGGTGGAAAATGAGGTCAAAGGTTAACATCAATTTCCTGTTTTAGTTCGTTTTTACCATCTATATGATAATTTACTGATTATTTTTGTTTTGTATGTTAAATATTATCACATCCACACGTTCAATTAAAATTAAATTGTAAAAAAAAATAAAAATAAAAATCTAATATTTACTTGGGGGGTGCTATGGGGGTGCAATGACTAATCCAGGGGTAGTTACAGCGCCCCCCTGGCGCCGCCACTGCCGACCACCAGCAGACAAGGCGTGTTGTGTCTTGCCCAAAGACACAACAGCAGCATTCTCTGGCGGGAGCCGAGATTAAACCTGCAACCTTTTGATTACTGGACAACCCGCTCTACCTCATGAGCTGCTGTCCAGTTTTAGGCTAAGATTGAGTGCGTTAGTAGCTGAGAGTTGTCCCTAGCTCGCAGCCCCAGCACTAACTGATCATGTAAGATCACAGGATGAATTTAGATTTTTTTTTTCAAAAATGAGTTATTGCAAAAATGTCTGCATCTTATTTCATTGTTGGACTCAGCCTGCTTCACCTCTCTCTAGCAAACACATAAATTCAGTTTTACAGCTATTGAGCCAAAATAGTGCTGAAAGGAATTCACACACTCGGAATGTGAAGTGATGGCAAAAACAAATCTCGACTTTAATCCCATGTTCCAGTATAAGATCATGTTAGTTCAAAACTCCAACAAAGAACGCTACAGTTCCCTATGTTGGCACAGAAAGCATAAATGTCCTTCTAGTTTACTTCTGTTCACCTTTTAATCTTTTAATTTTACATGTTTCAAAATATTTTTTCTCTTCAGCATGTGTCAGTGTGTGATTTTACATTTTTAATGTTTAAACGAACATTGAAATGAACGTGTTTTTAAGTATCCACCAGAGTTCCTGACAAAAAACTGACAGTTCAGACAAACGCTGCACTTTAAACAGCAGGCCTTGATATTCTTTTCCTCCTGCCTCTCTCGCTCATCGCGCCATCTGGATGCACCGATTTGGAATGCGTCTGTTTGTTGATTAAATATAATCAGACTCGTATAAGATGGGTTGTGATGAAGTCTGTGATGCCTGTTCTGCTGCTGGTGCAAAGCCAGAATCCTAAAGACTCCTGCAGGTGCGTCCAGCACTGCTTTTGAAGCGTCATGAACAGAATGATCGGATTTGTGTGAGTAGTTCATGCAAAAATAAGACATCTGCAGCAGCGCTGGATGCAATAATGTCACAGCATCTCCACCATGACTCTAGATTTTATTTTCCTAATTGTCCTAATGAGATAAGTGCACTTGCAAGTCACCGGGACCATGAAGCCTGAGCTGAGGGAGAAGAAAGAGGCTGACATGAATGGGCTCTGGTTTTTACTCAGTTGCTGACGTAAGTAAACAATTTACTGAAGAAGTGCCTCCGAGTTCTGAAGGGATCTGACAACAGGAGTCAGACAATGTGTGTGGAGAGAGAGAGAGAGAGAGAGAGAGAGAGAGAGAGAGAGAGAGAGAGAGAGAGATTTTGTGTGAATTTGCATCACAAAGCTAAAAATAGCCTTTATTTTCTCTCAATTTTATTTATATAGCGCCAAATCACGACAAGAGTCGTCTCAAGGCACTTCACATAATAAACATTCCAATTCAGGTCAGTTCATTAAGCCAATCAGAAATAATGTTTCCTATATAAGGAACCCAGCAAATTGCATCAAGTCACTGACTAGTGTCAGTGACTTTACAGCAATCCTCATACTAAGCAAGCATAAAGCGACAGTGGAGAGGAAAACTCCCTTTTAACAGGAAGAAACCTCCAGAGAATCCTGGCTCAGTATAAGCAGCCATCCTCCACGACTCACTCACGACATGGTGCCCAGGTCAGTGATCTCATATTACAACCTCCCCATCCCATCTCAAAAACAGAGAGAAACCTCCACAGCGTGGTCAGCCAATCGTTCTTGCCATTCCTGTCTATAAATAGCAATCCTGCACCAGCCTTGAGATTCCCCCATTCATTTAGCCCAAATGTTACAACAAATAGGTCTCACATCGCAGCCGTTTGCCAGAGTTGCAGCTAAATAATATCTCCCATTTTCCTAAAGAAAAATTAAAATAAAAGAATAAAAAGAAAACAATTATTTCCTTATTTTAAGGCTTCTCTATACTTAGATGTTCTGTGCCACACTTTAACACGTCCCCCACTTAGTGGAGACCTGAGTTCTGGCCTCTCCTCCTGAACTTAACTGGCTAATTAGGAGGGAAATGAGATGAGAGGCCTGCTTTTCAAACTGGAGATCAGCTTGGGATCAATGAAAGACAGATTTATGCTAAACACATAGCAACAATGGCTCTGTGGGGGCTGACAACTCTCTGTTTCCTTATGTCATTAGACTGCAGCAACAAATAGCTGATTATGGGTGTAGATGGCTGCAGAACACAACCTTTTCCAAGAGTTTCAACAAGCTGCAACTTCTATCAGATCCATACACTTCCTGTTTGAGCCTTTATAACTTTTTTTTATTAAAACTGATAGAAATGTCAACATGTGAAATATAATTACACAATATAGCAAGGATTTATCTTACAATCTCAGCCTCAGGATGGGTGAACTAAACGTCCTTGGACTTGTTTATGCAGAAAAAAAATTGTTGCACAGATTAACTAAAGATGCTGCATCTCTATTCATGTGTGAGTCAAAGCATGAGTCATTTTAAATATGTTTCAAAAGATGGAAGATGTATTCTACTTGTTACATTAGGAGAAGAGGTCCCAAAAGTCACAGCAGCATCTTTATCACAACGAGAGACAAGAGGCTCACCTCAACCCACTGCCCGTTGTTCTGCACCATGAGGACGACACACGGGTCTGACTTGTTCAATGTGTCTCGGTCCAGCAGAGCTTTGCACGACACTCGCAGCTCCACTTTGGTGACGCAGGTCGCCGGGCCGGTCAGGCTGGTCGCAGGAGAGGTCGCTTCCTGCACGTCATTCATCGTGGTCCAAGGTGAGAGGAAGCTGCCGGCCAGCAGAACAGTGCTGTGAGATGGTATCACTCCAGGGGGGTTAGGGTGGGGTTGGAAGATGAAGTGATCGGCTGCAGGATCTGAGTTCAGATTCAAGCGAGACAGACCCTTTTATTTTGGTGCAAATATCACAAAAACAGAGATTCTTGTTTGAGTCAAAGGAGAAAATAATTAAATAAGCTGTTGCGACTGCCTGTCAGAGCAACGCTGTTGGGGGGAGGATTATCTCACCTCAGTGGGGACGAGGGACAAGACATAAAGGTCACAGGCTTTTAAGAGTCTGGGTCAGATTTCTGCAAAGACATGTCTATAAAGCCCAAACTGAGAGGGAATTTGGTTTAAAAAACTAATCATTATTGTTTATCAGACCTCTTAAGTATGATCTATGAAACACTCAGGGGAAGAACTTAGCAGACATTATTCTATAGGGACATTTTTACCACCAACGTGTGACAAAGACACAAGTTGTTTCAATTTATTTATATGAGTTCATGAAAACTTAAACCACAATAACACATAAAATCTTATTTTAGCATCAACGAGTTAATTTACAAAAAGTAACCAGCGGAAAAACATCACACATCTCTCAGGTCATGTTTCAGGTTTCTTGAAAACTTAACTTTCACATAGCACTAAGGGTACCCTGTGTTTTAGACCTGAGACTACTTTTGTACTTCACTTGTCTTCTAAGTTCTTTTCTTTTTCAAAAGAAAAATCTGCACATCATGCATTCAGGAACAAGGACTGGATGGAAAATGAGTGGAAAAAAACAAGTAGAGACCAGAAATACTGGAAATGTCATAAAATGTCAGGAACAGCTGATCAAGAAGAGATGATGAGGAATTCTTGTTCCATAGAAATCAGGACATTAGAAGAGCCTATTTGTGGAAATCCAGACTTACTTTTCTAAATAGTTTTAAATGATTTACACTACAAGTGTTTAAGCATATTAAGGGTTATAAATTATTTTCTGCATTATTCCTTTTAATTTTAGGTTTTGTTATATACTTTTTCTTACTTTGTCCATATTCACATCAATTTCAAGCATACACAAAAGATCAAATATATTCACTTGCACTAAAAAGGGATAAATCTAACCATACAAGCTAAACACCTTGTTTAGGTTTAATTTGAACGTCAGCAGCCCTCCAGAAAATCAGGATGAGATCTTCTACCTGAGGTCTCAGAGTCATTTTGGTGTGAGGGACAATTCAATCATTTATCAAGGTTTCTGTATGGGTTCGGGCTGCACAAATCCATGATTATACAGGCTATGATGATATCTCACAACCTAAAAGGACACCGAGATGTTAAACAAGAGACTTTTATTTTGGTAGGCTCCTTTAATCATAGGAACTCCTTTATATTTCATTTTGATTTAGCTTTGTTTATTTAGCTTTGATTCTAAATATATTTAACAATAAATTGGAATATTTCATGAGTTATTTTATTTTTACCATCTGCGCCCCATTAAAGCCGTCCAACAGCCGCCCCGCTGAAGTGCTCATGAGCAACACGGTTAGACGCAGCTGCTTTAAACGAGAACAGAGTATGAGACGGTGGGCTAAGTGTCCCCATCTGAGTCTCCTACGCGCAGAAAAGTGACTGATCCCTGGGACAGGAGCGTGTTTTTACTTTCAGCACCTTGGACAGAGTCCGCGGTTCAGACGGCAGAACCGGTTCTGCTCAGAACTTCATCCCCAAACGGACCCGGCGTCACGGTGGACGAAGCAAAACTTAAAAGCACCAATGAACAACATGAAGGCGAAAACAACTCAGCGGAGAAGAAAAGCATCTGAGCGGGTGGTTATTTATTCATCACTCAGGGATTATTTTCTCTAAAAAATAAAAAAATAAGCTCGCGAACAAGAATGAAACACTCTTCCTACCTGCTTGTTGCTTCTAGCTCCTGGAAACTCTTGTTTAATCCGCTCCCACTGAACACTGGTTGATTTTGGTCTGCAATTTCTCCACTGAGTCTCATTGGTTCCGCTGGTGAGGAGGGAGTGGGCTCGGCTGGGAGGAGACGGGCGGTAGAGGGCGGATGTGAGGGTGGGCTGTTACAGGAGGAGGGGAAACAACATCTGATAGCCCACAAAAGCTCCACACAGATGCTGAAATCCATAAAACACGTGATGTCTTCTTTGTTCATCTCAGTTTTTCTTAAAATTTGGATAAGACTAAAAGTGAGCAGGTGCTATACCTTGTCTGTGGATTTGTGCACTTTCTATCCCTCATCCCTCTAATTTTGACTTATTTTTCCAAACTTCAGGACAGGCACTTCCATAAACCTTTGCTTATGGGTGTGAAGAAAGTTGGGAAAATTACTAAGAGGAAGTTAACTCTTGCTGTGATTTAATTAAAATGGCAACATTCAAACTTCTAATTTGCAAGTTTATTGTGATTTTCATTATCATTTGGGATGTTCAATATCGGCTTTTTTACCTATAGAATAGAATTTATTGATTACACAATGGGTAAATTCACTTGTTAAGGCAGCACATACTTACAGAGTTAGGAAATATTATTATTAATAATTATTATAATAATACAGGTAAATACACAGAGAATTAGGCTATTACCGTAACCTTCAGCACTCAAAAAATGAATAAAATAAAGTAAAAGCAGGAAATAGAAAATACTTTCCACAAAGAACAGCATTAAGACACAGATATAAAAATGTGCATTTGGGTATAGCACAGGTATTGAATATAGCTTTGATGTTAGCATGTGACAGGATAGTGGAGTGACACAGTTTTACTGCAGTGGGAATGAATGACCTACGGTCGCATTCGGTTTTGCATCTTGGATGTCTCACGGATGTGCTCCAACTCAAAAATTTCTGATAGTAACACAAACCAATGCCAGTATAAAGAAAATATTTTAGGTAACTAAAATCACATATCTCCCACCATGCTTAAACTTTAAACATTTTCTGTGTAAAACACCCAGAGGAGTCAGAAGTCTTAACATTCCTTTTTCAGGCAGGAACTATAGACAGGATTTTAACTGCATCATCTCAAATGTTTTACTGGAGTAAAAACTACTTAAAGTATCAAAGTAAAATCTAAGTTTGTAGGTTTATACCACAGCACTACCACACCTCACCAAACAAATACTTTTACTAGAGGTAATGATGTGAATGTTAACTTTGAGATACTCTAAGCTACCTGCTTCAGTTGCACATACCTACGCCCATTGAAAATAATGCATTTAGTGCAAAGAAATTACATTTAAAAAACCACATGTGGCTGGTGCAATTCAATAAGAAGAGACATTTTTTAAATATAAGGAGTGGAAAGTGTAGATAATTACCTGAAAAGTAAAGTTGGATCATTACAAAATTGAAGTATAAATACCCCAAATTTCAACTTAAAGCGACAACGTGTAGATTTCTTTTACCATTGATCTCTGGAAATATCATTCGAAATATTGTTGAAATTTAACTAAATGATACCCCGGAGTTGAAAACTATTAGCGGCTTTGTAATATATAACCATACCAGGTCTAAAATACATGGGGGTCTAAATCTCTGGGCGACACCATATTAGATGCAGTTTCCTTCTACGTGAGCATGTGAGGACAAAAGGCATTTACTGATTTGTAACAAGCAATTACAAAACTTTCACCATTCATAAATGTTGTTTTATACAGTTACCTCTTAGCTCCTTCGTCAGGGATGAAAGGGAGTCTGATGTGCTTGTCTTTTTGCTAGAGGTTGAACGATCTGACAAAGAACTCGATAAAAATTGAGCATCCAGGGATTTTTGACCCTAATGGCCACCCGTTGGTAAGATCTTACTCAGACACAAAATCACAGCTTGTTTGCAATGATTTAGGTATGTACTGCCCCTATCACCAGGAAAAATGCACACTGTCACTTTAAGTAAAGTAATAAAGTATTTGTACTTTGTAACTTGACTCCTTTGATTCAAACAGAACTCTTGGTCAAGGACTGGAAACAAGCAATCAGAAAACATTTTGAGAAATTACTGTTACAAAGTTTGCTGCACCAGTTTTTACATGATGTCAGTTTGTATAAACTCTAATGTTATTTAGTGTAATCTGATTAATGTATGTATGCACACCATAGTAGATCATGTTGGAAACGTATTTCTGGATTTTTTTTTTTTTTTGCCAACATTTAAGAACAGCAGCAGGTGAAAACCACAAGCTGTCATCCAAAAGGTGATTTTATGCTCATTTTGAATCAAAGCTGAGTGATTTAAACAAGAGGAGAATGTGAGAGGGCATGTCGAAGCCAATCCAGAGCTAAAACTGACAACATCACCTTCATTTGGAAGCTTAAAGATATTCAGAAATCTCTTATCTTTGTTAAACACGCGTTTGTATGCGCTGACAGTAAAACTGATCTTGAATCAAACAGAAGATTTTAAATCTCTTTATTTCTACTGTGTGTATGTTACATAACGCATTGTTCCTACGATGTTTGGACTTGAACCTTTTTCTCAGTCCACCCACCAACGTATTATTGTCATGAATGCATTTCTAGACATTGCATAACATCAATAGACTGAACTGACTAAACAGAGTTTAAAATGAAGGCCTGATAAAGGTACCAAACTTTATTTATTAAATGCTCTAAAACAGACTTGATGACTTTTAGCTTTACAGATGGTTTTAAGATCTTATTAATCCAACTTGTCCTTTAGAAAGAACAAAAAAAACCATCTTGTCAAACTTTGTTTTCAAACAGCAGAGTCTGTAGGAGACTGAAAGCAGGAAGGAAGGTCGGTCTAATCATTCCACCGGCGTGAAAAATAAAACACCTCACCTCTCTGCTTCTTGATCATCTGATCACTAAACAACACATAAAGCTGCTCACGGACTGATGGTATTCTTTAAATAAATCAGTGTTTGAACCTCACTGCCTCTTCTTGCATAGAGATTGGTCAGAAACGTCTGCTCTGGGGGACACACCTGAGCCCTGTTACGCCACAGCTCCAAATAACGACCATCTGCTGCTGCTGCTGTGTCACTTCAGCACCTCTCAGGACATTTCCACGAGTTTACACACGGATTATCTATTCATGCCCCCCACCCCCACCCCACACAGCGTGGCGCTGCTGCTGACCACACTGCAGGATCTCTGATCACCCCCACTTCTCCTCTCAGCCCGAGCTTTCTTCTAACATTATTGACATTTTTCTACCAACAGCTCCCCTGGGCAGAGATATTTTTGGACATGGATTTTTGGAGTTTACTTCAGCAGACCCAGTTTCCTTCAGGAGTTTTGTGACTGAATGACCTGGAAACATTCTTTCTATTCACATATAAAAAACTTTACATCACTACGATAAAAAATGACTCCAGACATGGTTGGAACTAAGAAAGCAAAACAGGATTCTGTCATAAATATGAAGCGTATTCTGGCAATAATCTACCAGACACCTGAAGTTGGATTAAATAAACAGATGGTTATTTAGAAATGGCTTCCAGAACTAAACTCATCTGCTGTCAGTCTTTCCTGATAGACACTAAACTTCTTCTTAGCTTCTGAATTAAATTTAACAGCTGATGATCAAATGTTGGTGAAGAGATCTAGATGAATGAAGGAGCTGCTTAGGTGATTTAAAACACATTTAGTCAACGTAGAAACATTTATCAAAATCCTGTTCAATTAGATACTGGAATTAATGATGGATCTTCAGGACCAGATCATCCATCCATTAACTCTGGTCCACATCAACCAAACTGTCCATTTAACATCATTTAGAGAATTATTAATGTTCAGGCTGCTCTGGGTCAGGGACACTTGCTTTTACACACACACACATACACACACACACACACACACACACACACACACACACACATGCACGCACGCGCACACGCACACGCACACACACACACACACACACACACACACACACACACGGACTGGAAGCCCCAAGGTCAAAGTGGGTAACACCACCTAAGGTGGTTGAGAACTACAGAGCCAAGCTCCTGTGGCACTTTAGATCCAAACTGACAAAATGGTGATGGGGAGCCAACTGATGGACAAACAACAGAAGACAGCCATTGTGGTTGATGTGGCAATACCAAGTAATGGCAACATCAGGAAAATGGAACATGAGCAACTAGAGAAGTACCAAGGCCTCAAAGCAGAACTTGAGAAAGCCTGGAGAGTGAAGACATCAGTGGTGACCGTGGTCATCGGGGCAGGAACCCCCAAACTGGAGGACTGGCAGAGCCCTCAAGCTCCCAGGCCTCTGGTAGAAGACCCAAGCTTGGAAGGATGAGACCACCTGCGGAGGGTGAGATGGGAACTTTTACACATAAATGTTTTGCCAAAATGTCTCAACTTGATTCTCTTTTCAGTTCATCACAGCTCAATAAAATATCACACTGAATGAACATCTTGTTTTAAAAGACCTGTAGAACTAAATAATTCACAATATTTTTGGTTACTGTCTGCCAGCACATAATTTTTCATCTCATTAAAAATGTATTCCTCCTTATTGAGAAAAGCCTACAGGGAGGAATCTTCCTTCTATCCACCTTTTGACCTTACAGGTGTCAGTCAAAATACTGAAATTCACAAATCCTTATTAGTGTAGTCTGAACTTCAATGTTTAAAATTTTCAAATGCTATAATTGGTTTACTCTTGTTCAAGTAGTTAAATTATATATTTTAAATATAGAGGCTAAATTTATCCAATTAAAATTAGATCATTAAAACTGAACTTGCAGCCCCTCAGTCTCATTTAGACACGAAACTGTGACTCTTCTGCCCCCTACAGGTGGACAAAAAATTTACACACCCACTCAAACCTGATGGTTCTGCTCAGATTGATGCAGGCCCATTAAATCGGGGTGTTTTCTATTCATTTCAAACTAAATCACAAAACAGACATGCAACCTCATTTCAGTGTTGCTGTATACAGTGTGCAATTTGTAAAAAAATAAATAAATAAAGCAGCGGGGGTCATTTTTTACCTTTTTGTTCATGAAAATTATAACACTTGTACGCTGATTGCAGGGTGTTTTGTACATAGGTGTCCCCTTATGAAACTGATGGAGAAAAAAACAAACAAAAAAAGTTATGTTGTCATCTTTTTTCATCTTTGTGCGCATGCACGGTGGCAAAAACAGACACTGTATATGGCCTGCTATCAGTATGCGAGTACACTTCTAAGAAAGTTTACATACAAATTCCCAGATCAGTTTATAATCCAAGGAGATTTAGAGAGAAGTTATTAAAGCCTGTAAGAGCTCTGGAATGACAGAAAACGTATATACCCCTCCTCTATACAGTGTACATTTTCAGTGACTTTATTCCTTCCTTGAACAGACTTTGTCCATAACAATACCATCAAAGCAGTATTGCATTACTGGAATTCACAAAACAAACAAACCTATCTTCACCTGTGTCACCCATATTCTAACCTTGTACATGCCTAGCTCAAAGGCTAATAGATTTTTCCTCATGTCATCCGTTGTAGGGATAATGCCTCCCTTTCCTCATTATACCTGGTCATCACATCGCTTTTATTTAGGTTTTTAAATTGCTTAAAGTTTACTGCATTTTTAATTTCCTCTGCCAAGTTATTCCACAGTTTCACTCCCCTCCCTGAGAGACACATTCATTTGAATGTGCTATAGGCTATAGGCTGATACAGTTTTTTGCTCCCTCGTAAGTTGTAGTTATGAGAATCTTTATCTTGAAATAAGTTTAGAACATGGCGGGGCAAAAGATGCAAAAGATGCTTTATACATAGTTTGGTTAATTTAAAATTGACTAAATCGTGGATCTTCAAGAGGGACTGCACACCATCAGAAAATGTAACTCCACCCCAGTCAAGATTTGAAATATGGTATGATTGTGGGAGTTGCCAGGAGGCACGGAGTGTCATGGCCAAGTGCCGGGAATTTCCATCTTGGGAGGGAGGGGGAGTGGGAGGACACGGTACTGATGACGTGACATTGCACCAGCCCCAGTCAATTGCAAATTTTAAATGCAGTAGCCACAGTTCAACCCACAGGGGGCAGCACTAAGACGTTTTTAGACCTAGATTCTAGATTTAATCAAGTTTACACAAATGTGTCAAAAAATGCACAGAAACAGAAAGATTGCATTTGTAAAGACCCAGTTTATAAGTAAAAAGAACAGTTTACTTTTGGGTTTAGTTACTCTTTAAGGTTAAATTATTTAAAAACAGTAAGTTGGAATGAGCACTGTATTTAGTTGAATAAATTCTAATAGCCAAGTTTGCAAAGTAATTAACAGAATCAAATTGGTTTTATAAAGCGTTTGGTTTGGTGTGTCCTAAGTGCCTAAATACTCCCAACATCACAAAAAAAGTCAAACCCCGCTGTCTTCCTCTCACCTTTAGAGGAGAGAGTCATTAAACGTCTCCTCAGGTTTTATTATATTTGTTATTTCATTTCTCCTTCTACCTGTCGGAGTAAAGCCCTTTGGTGATCCTCTCGGGATGCATTGTCTTGGCTCTGCATTGGCGTCCTTCACTCCAGGAAATGCCGGCACTAGTTCCATGTCCCTCCAGCCGAGCGTCTTCAGAGCGTCTGCGCTCACCTTCAACAGGGACGGGGTTGCAAGATACCTCAAGGGAGTCCTGAACAGGCATATTTCACTCATCAGCACTTAGAACAGACTTTAAACAGCTGAGGTAGACAAAAACATGGATGGTCATCCCTCTGGTAGGTGTGGCTGCTGGAGAGGACCACAGTCCTGGAGAAGCCGCTGGATTTGATCCAGGAAACGAGCATCTGACGGAACTTCTTAGACTTTATCTGCAGTGAAAACAAAGTTTATAGGATATTAATTCAGCTGATGTTATAAAAACTTACTGAAAAAAGAAAAAAATAAACAATTCACCTGAATAATCGGCACTTTGACTTGAAGAACTGCCAACATCTGTTCTGCTGCTGTGAAAACTAAACAAAACATTTTTCATTTTTAACAGGAAGTAATGAAGTGTTCGCCCTGCAGAGTTCTAGATCCAATAAAGGACAGTAATGAGACGATACCCTCTGCAGGACAGTGCAGCGCCTCGGCATCCTCCTGAGCTGCTGTACGGGTCGTTTCCGGCCATCGGGATCAGACAGTCTGTGTTTAAGTAACCCACTCTGCTCAGGTTGAGAGTGGAAACGACGAGGTCGACAGCCAGCTGACCCACGTTACACACAGCTACCGCAGGCTAGGAAGAGAAACAAAAAAGTGAATCAGCATTTTTATCTCCAGCTTCTCAAAAGTCAAGATAAGCTGCTTGTGTTCTCTCAGAGCGGAAATGAAAGAAAGAAAACAATCTCTTATTTAGTGCCTCTAAAGATAAAAATCACATTCACATAAACAACAAAAAATAGATTCAAGTACAAAAAAGCTTTAAAAAAATAAAAAGATCAAAAATATGTTCGAAATGAGAAAAAAATTGTGATTGTGATTAAAAAACATAAAATAATAATGTAAGGAAAGGAAGAGAGAAAATGAATAGGAAAGAGGGAATCAGTGAATAGTGGAATAAGAGCGGAATAAGGAGAGGGTGGTGACGAAGGTCACGCCAAAGCCAGCTTGAACAGGTGAGTTTTCAGCTGCTTATTAAAGGAGTCCACTGAGTCCACTGATCTCAGGCTCAGGGGAGAGAGTTCCAGAGTCTGGGGGTCACAGCAGCAAATGATCTGTCACCTTTGGTCTTTAGTCTGGTGCTGCACAACCAGTAGGCTTTGGTCACTGGACCTCAGGGACCTACTGGGGGTGTACGGACTGAGAAGACCACCAGCGTATGATAGTGTTTGTCCATGTAAGGCCCTAAAGACCAGAACCGGGATCTTGAAATGAACGCTGAAGTTAACCAGCAGCCAGTGAAGCTGGAGGAGAAGCGGGGTGATGTGGGTGTGTTTGGAGGACTTGGTCAGAAGCCGAGCACAGGCATTCTGAACCACCTGTAGACAGTTCCAGGAGGTTCTGCTCAGACACGTGAAAAGAGAGTTACAGTAGTCTAAGCATGAGGAGATGAAGGTGTGGATAACTGTCTCAAGTTCAGAGCGGGACAGAATGGGACTCAGCTTAGCAATGTTCCTGAGATGGAAAAAGGAAGAGCGAACGAGAGAACTGACATGAGAATCCAGGGTGAGAGCTGGGTCAAAGGTCACGCCAAGATTCCTGACAGAGGTTTGGCGTGGGAAGCAAGCTGACCAAGAGAGTCGCTGACTTTGGGAACCAGCTTGTCTGGGGCACAGATGAGGATCTCAGTCTGATCTTCATTCAGCTGAAGAAAGCTCCCAGCCATCCAGGTTTTGATAGAGTCTAAGCAGGTGTGTAACAGCTGCAGCTTAGACATCTCATTCAGCTTGAAAGAGTTGTACAGTTGGATCATCTGCATAAAGATGGTAGATTCCTTTAAAGGGGCTGGTACCCACGTACTACAAAGTACACATTTAGAGTACATTACTTTTACCTCATCTCAATGTTTTTATAGACTTTTCTTTCAGATCTGATCAAAAAGTTATAAAATAATGTCACACATTGGCCAACAGTAACAAATACAGCTCTTTATAACTGCATTTGTTTTGATCTGTCTGGGCAAAATAATAACTATAAATGAATCCTTTAATACTAATAATAAATACTCAAATGCATGATCTACTACTTAAAGTGATGATGTGCTTTTTAACAAACCAAGGGAAACAATTCATATTTTATACACTTTAAATGCATCGCTTATGCAATTAATAGTTACAATTCAATTCCCCTTTTTAAAATGTGCTTTTTTATTTTATTTTTAAGAAATCAGTTACAAGAAAATTACTGAAAAGAAGCTTTAAAGAAGAAAAGTACAATAAATCAGATGCAACTCCTACCTAAAAAACACATTAGCAAACATTTTGATTAGCATTATTTTACCAATACTCTTATTAATTCCAGTTGTGACACTAAATTTCTATAAAAACAACTCTGATTAGCAATAAAAATGGTGACTATAAGACAAAAGTACCAATAAAATCATAATAAAACAAATGATTATAAGTAAATGACAGGATTAACTATCCAGTCACGCTCACCATGACGAGGGTGAAACGTTTGAAGGCGACCAGTAAGTTTTGTGAAGAGACGAACATTCTGCTATTAAGTAGGAAATCACTTTAAATAAAAAAAAAATGAAAAAATATAGCTAAATAGAATAAAATCCGACAGCTTTCCCAAGTTTCATGCTTTCTGAACCTTGTTTAGATTGCGGACCTTAACAATTTTAAATTGCTTAATGGTGCCTGACAAAAAAAAGAAAAACAAGGCTTAAGTTAAAACAATAAACATGGTAAAGTTGATTGTATGTTCCTACTCTTATTACTGTATATATAATGCGATGGTAATGAACATTAAGGTATATTCATAATTTTATATGTGCTTTGCATTTTATTCAGGCAAATCAGCGGACCGCGTCTCCAAGGAAACAGCTCTTTAAAGTAAAAAAAAAAGCATCTCAAAGCCTGTGGCGTAGTAGTCGGTCTGCGCATGCGCATTTCCCCTAAATTGCACTGATAGTCGCGCACACCCGCACGCAACGCAAACGTGACGCAGCAACGTTTGGAGCATCATCACGTGGTATCGAACCCAGTGACGTTCTTTGTGACATCATAGCTGATCATAGCATTAGGAGTCAGTTCAGCTTAGCATTGCAGGCAAGAACATCTCAGAAGATTGCTCATCTCAGAGTTTAACAAGAGCTTTGAAAATGTCGACAGATTTTAAGATTACAGAAGGAGCAGCAATTATAAGTGAGTCTACAGTTTACCAAGTTTTGGAAATCTCAAATGTGGATGCTAACTGTGCAGTTTTAGCACGTTGCAGAGTGGAAGAAACGGGCAATATCTTTGATTTGAAATGCATTCCTACGAAACATCTTTTGAATTACAAACATGAAGCAAAGGTACTTCATTATCTCAAAGATCGGTATCCAGGAGAAAGTAACTTTGTCAAGATCATTGAAACATTTGGTTTCCAAGATTGGTTTTGCTTTGTCTTTGAAAAGTTAGACATGAGATTGTCTGATTTTGTGAAAAGCAGAGCTAATAAACGCCTTAGCATGAAAGAAATCAAAGTGTTCGCACGGCAAATGCTTACAGCCTTAACTGATCTAGAGAATGTTGGCATCACTCATATGAATATAAAACCAGAGAACATTATTGTAGTCAACGATGAATCACAAACGTTTAGAGTGAAGCTGACTGGATTTGATGGGGCTGGAAAAACATCAATGCTTTCACAAATGACCATACCAAAGAATTGTGGATATAGTGCGCCGGAAGTGTTATTACAGTGTCAACTGGATGAAAAAGTGGCCATTTGGAGTGTAGGAATGACACTGGCTTTCATTTTTCTTGGCCATCCACTTTATCCAACGTGCTGTGATTATGAGTACATGAGAAAGATTGTGGAGGTTAACGGTTTGCCTCACAGAAAGTACCTTGATCAGGGCGAATGTACCGATCATTTTTTTACACCAGATTCAGATTGGAGTCTTCAAACTCCAGAGGAATATTTACAGAAGTCAGGGAGACAAGTTTGTTGTGGCAACTCATTTTATGAGGACTTCAAATCTCTTAGTTGCTTAATTTTTGAAGTGGACATAGAAGATTATAATTTTGAGGAAGTCATAGCTTTTATCGAGTTGCTTAAGCAAATGCTATTTGTGAATCCAGAAGACAGAATATCCCCAGCTGAGGCTCTGAACCACAGTTTTGTCAGAGAGGACTTTTCAACCAGCAGCCGTGAAACTTCAGGTCGTGACCTGGGCACACCAGGCAATGTTTCAGACGAAGAAAATAATTACACAGAGGAAGATTTAATTATACATGAAGGGGTTACTTTTGGATTGGAAAGTGAATATTACCTTGAAGAATTTCTAGAAACGGGGTTTGTTGGAACAGTTGCAAAGTGCAAAAAAGTTGAAACGGAAGAGGATTTGGCAGTAAAAATATTTAACAAAGCAGTGAGAGAGTATGGTGAGCGGGAAGTGGAGATATTAAAGGCTATCAGTAGTCTTGACCCAGATAAAAATCACATAATCAGATTTATTGATAGTTTCACCGACAGGGGTGTCCTTTTTATTGTTCAAGAGCTGTTGGATGAAGATTTCATTAACTTTCTATTACAGCGAGACTGTAAACCTCTGACTCTGGCTGAAATTAGACCCATCGCTGAACAGATGTTTGTAACCCTGAAAGCTCTGAAGAGTATTGGCATTACCCACTCAGACATAAAACCAGATAATTTAATGCTGGTTAATCATGATTCACAACCATTTAAGGTGAAGCTAATAGATTTTGGTTTTGCATATAGGACAGGTGGTTCACCTGAGACCTCATTATTCCAGAATGAGATGTACAGGGCACCGGAGGTTTATTTCGGTCTTCCACGCGATGAAGGAATAGACATGTGGTCCGTTGGGTGTATGATGGTATTCTTATTTAAAAGTCAGCACCTGTTTTCACCATGTGAATATGAAAATGTCAAGAGGATTATAAAGCTCTGCGGTCTGCCTGAGAAAGATTTGCTAGATAAGGGTTTGAGAGTCAGACTCTTCTTTACGAAGCTCCACAATGGCTCTGACGATTCTTGGAGAATTAATACAAGGGAGGAATATGAACTGGCCACAGGAGAGATAACTGAACTCTGGGATGAGACTATCGAGTCTCTCGATGACCTACTGAAATGGGTGTCAGAAGAAGAGAATCCTACAGAATTTCAAGACCTCAAATCTTTCATAGACCTTCTTAAAAAAATCCTAGTGGTGAATCCGGCCAAGAGAATCCTGCCAGAAGATGCATTAAAACACCCATTCATCACAATGGAGCACCTTTCTGGTACGAACTCTTATGTGACAGAGTCACGGAAAATATTACAATTATGCCAACTCACTAGCCAGTATAGTGATACAGAGAAAGATAATGATGAGTCAGACTTAGGCCAGACAGGATCAGAAAATGAAATGAAAATCTCAAAGGTAAAATTAGAGAAAGACAGAATCCCATCAGATGATGCAAAAAGCGACCCTGTCACAATAGAGAGTCTTCCTTGTACTAGTGTAAGGTCTCGTATGACTGGGGGAGCTAAAGCACCAGCAGGAAATCAGCTTTTTATGTTCAGTGATTCAGAGGATGATGAGGACAAGTCAGCCTTACACAAAATGCAAACATCGCCCTTAAAATTAGAGAAAGGGGTTCAAATTATCCACCAATCAGATATTTACAGAATCGAGGAAGTTGTTGGAAGTGGAGTTTTCGCTAAAGTTGTCAAGTGCAGTATAAAGGGAACAGATAAGATGGTAGCTGTTAAAATATTTAGAAAAGACGTGCACAGGGATGCAATAGAGGAAATAAATGTGTACCGTCATCTCAAAACTCTAAACTCTGACGAAAACAACATCATCAAATTTATTAAGTGTTTTATGTACAAGGACTGCATTTGCCTAGTTTTTGAACTTTATCATTCATCACTGTTTGAGTTTGTGAAAAAAAGGAATTGGAAAGCTTTGAGAGTGGATGAAATCAGACCTATTGCTCAGCAGATGTTGGTCACCCTCAGGGGCCTGAAAAGCATTGGTGTTGTCCATTCAGACATAAAACCAGATAATATCATGCTGGTAAAAAATGATTTGCAGCCTTTTGAGGTCAAGTTAATTGATTTTGGGTTGGCTTTTGGAACATCTAACTTATCTGTCTTTAGAGAAGTGCAGCCTGATGGTTACAGAGCCCCAGAGGTTTATTTGGGACTTCCATATGATGAAAGTATAGACATGTGGGGTCTTGGCTGTACATTAGCGTTTATGTACCTAGCCACAAATCTGTTTCCAGAAAAAGATTACCAAGTAATGACGGTAATTGTAAACCTTTGTGGTTTGCCTGATGAAAAAGCACTTCATGAAAGTAAGCACGTCAAAGATTTTTTCATTCTAGAGCCGTTTCAGTCAAGAAATTATTGGAGGTTAAAAACCATGAGAGAATACGTAAGAGACACAGGAAAGTTGTGTTATCCATTGGACCCGTTCTATAATAATTTATTTTCTCTGGATGATTTAGTGAAAATGGCAAATGAAGAAAACAAAGCTGGAATAGAAGATTCAAAAGCCTTTATTGACCTTCTTAAGAAGATGCTAGCGGTGGATCCAGCAGACAGAATAACCCCAGATGAGGCGTTAAAACACCTTTTCATAACGAAGGAGCCTCTTCCGTGTACTAGTTTAATGTCTCGTGTGACAAAGGCAGATGAAATACCATCAGAAAACCAGCTTACTAATGCCGATTGTGGTACAGAGGGAGACAAAGATGAATCGACCTTAAATGTGACAGAACCAGAACATGGAATGGAAACATCAACCTTAAATTTAAAGAAAGGGGTAAAAATCATTAACGAATCAGACGTTTACCTAATTGAGGACGTCCTTGGATGTGGATGCGAGTCATACGGACAGCGTGTCAAGTGCAGAAAAGAGGGAAGTGATAAGTTAGTAGATGTGAAAGTAGTTAGAAAACAAAATTACTTGAAAGCAATCAGAGAGGTGAATTCATATGACAGCCTCAGTAAGGTTAACTCACAAGGAATGACGTATACTGACTGTTTTATCTTTAAGGACTGTTTTTGCATTGTTTATGAACAGTAAGGACACTAGAAGTTAATATTTTACTGTTTTGGCAGTTTTTATATCATTTATACAATATACTTGATAAGTTGCATTTCTTGCAGAAATAATGTTAGCTGGAGCGTCTCCATATGAAGGTCCGAAGAGGTTTAGCGTCACAATTTATACCCTTACCTTTGACAAGACAGCAGAGCCTGGGCAAAACCGTATAAAGTGTTTTTAGAAGCGCCAAACCCAACTGAAACAACAATTAAATGAATCATGATAAATCGTGATAAATCGTTCAAGAAAAATTTTTAAGAAATAATCTGCTATTTTGCTGTTATGTTTTCTAGTTAGTAGAAAGCAGGCAGGCAGTAATTTTATCCATATGAACTTTAGTATAGCAGGAGGGGCAAGCATACATTCAGCATTCATCTCGTAATGATGAGCAGAACTTCCCCTGAACTTACACTACACCTCTCTCTAGTGAGATTGGTGAAAAAAGCTGGGCGGGCGGGCGGGGGGTGGGGATAATTTTTTTCACTTTTTATGAAATTTACAGCATGCTTTTGTATGCTGATTGCAGGGTATTTCGTACATAGAATAGAAAAGACTTAGATCCCATAGTAGGGAAATTCACTTGTTACAGCCAAGCCCCCACAATGCGGCTCTAAAAATGGTCCCAACCCGGAAGTAAGAAAAATTGCAGTTCCACCCTCATCCGCTGGGGGCTGGTGCTAGAAGCGAGCAAATCCTCATTGACTCCCATGTTAAAAATGCCATTTTCACAGCAGAAATAAACATGTTTACAGTCTGGTACCAAAACATGTTTTTTGTCTAAATTATCTAGTTTACACTCATGACAACTCTGAGGAGGGTGAATTTTTCCTCACTCTTCTGTTTAAGTCTATTGAAAGCCTAAAATTCTGTATAATTAATGAGCATCCGACACACGTGACCGCCGCCTCAGACCCACGTGACCACAGAGCTAGCTCCGTGGAAAGGCCTCAGTACAGCCTCGTTCTCTCCTGGAAACTGTTTCGGGATTTTGAGTCTCTGTGCTTGTGAATTCTGTTTTGGATATTATTGGTGCAATTGTTGGACAAAATGACTTGCTGTGGTATTAATTGCACTAATAGATCGTAGGAGTCTCCACTTCATTTTTTTCGGTAAGTTAAAATCTATATTTGTATTTTATGTCACTGCCGCCTTTAAACTAGCTGAGTTTATCGAAGTAGCTAGCTAACTATCACTATAACATGTAGCATGTACCGTTTAACCATGAAATTTAAATGTAAAATACTGTAAAATAATTAATAGGGCATATTTCGATGGGTAAAAGGTTAAACCCCAGTGCATTTAAGATAAAAATGGGTTGAAATATGATGGAGCGCTTGGAGGGACACTTCTGTGTTCCATTCTTCCATCCGGTACTCCCCAGCGGTCAGGCCGGGCAGCCTGACCGATGCGGCGCCTAGCTGCTGCGCGGGCTGACCGCTCGGAGCTCTCGGACTGGGAGACAGATCTTACCGGAGAAATACTGCAGCTCGGTGAGAAGTCTATAGGGCATACAGGGTTTCCCTTAAATCCCACCGCCACGCCAAGATCCCAAGTTTTTTTGTTTTTGTTGGCGCTGTTTCCCGAAGAAGCAGCGGGAACTACTATGTTGTCGCTTGTGATCACAGCCGGTGGGCAGCAAGGAGGAGCAGGCCTGGCACTGTGAAGTTACTGAGTTTAAAATTAGAAAGGTAGCAGTGGATATAATGCCTTTTGGTTTACATGTTTCAATAGCATTAAGATAAACGAGTGCTGACGATCTAGACAGGGTTTCCTCCAGTGCTTACTAGGCCAGGTTTTCCTCCCCCCACCAGGCTAATCATCACTTCTTCATGTAAAATTTAGTTTTTCATGTCTGACTTTAACCGCATCTAATACTGTATTACGGCGTGAGCGCAACAACGACAACTTAATATCGATGTGTGAGCAGCCTGAGAGGTAGGGTGTTTTCATCTGAACCCTTAAAACCTCCAGCAGGCTACGCTGCACTATTGACGTGTTAGCACGCGGCGCTAACAACTTAGCGACGTGACATGTCTCGGAGAAAGCGTAAAAACACGGACGCTTCTTCTGAAGCGGGAAAATAACACTTCTTCTTAAGCAGAGCAGGATGTCGCCTCGGCTCGTTCACGGCTGAGCCGGACTGAGCTCGATAACATTGACCAAGCGCAGCCACTGGGCCGTTGGAGCTGCCACCGGGCCTACTGAAAGAACACCAGCAAGTTTCATCAGACTCGTAAAGTTTGTTTTTGCTGGGGACCCCCTGTATTTTACCGCTCCCTCCTGCAGTCTTCCCCTATTAAAATTTAAAATGTGTAACTTTATGTATTGGGATGAATGACTAATATTCATGTTAAACTAAAACGTTAGGCATTTAGGGGAAAAAACCAAATAATAAACATTATACAGATGTCAAATAAATTAAACTGTAATTAAACTATATATTTTCAAAGTCTCGATTCTGGATAAAATCCAACAACATATGCTTTATAAATAACAAACACTACACATGCCTTTTACACACACGCACACACACACACACACACACACACACACATGCATGCACGCAAGCACATTCACTCACACACACACACAGTGCTCTGGTGTACCAGTGTGTTCTTGAGATTCAGAAGCTGACCTTGTCTGATGTGTGTATATGTGAATCTCTTTTTTTTTTATTAAGTAATTATGTTTTTTTATTTTAAGGGAGAGTTTGCCTGAAGGACACAGCTGTGCCTACAATCTTCTCATCCTTTAAGGTCAAAAAACCTCTTCCAAGAAGGGAAGAACAGGTAAGTAGGAATGACAAGGTAAGTTTTGAGAAGGTTGCAGATGTAGATGCAGGTGTACACAGTGCCATAAAAGTTGGTGTTGATCTGAGCAATATATTGATGTGTGAAGAGTCACCTCAAGAGGTCTTTGTTACTCAAAATGTAACACATGATGCCATTCCTCTGCCAGCAGTTGAGTGTTATACTGCTCATTCTGGTCACAGTGTTCAACACCAGAATGATTCAGACTCTGGTCAGTTTAACGCTGTGCCATTACAGCCAAATAGCATCCTGAGTGACCATTGCTATCAGATCACAGAGTCTCCCAAAACGCTTAAAAGGAGAGTTCTGTCGGTGAATGAAAAGGTATGCGTAGTTCATAAAAAGCTTAGATTGCAATCCTGGAAGACAAGGAGACTGAAGGCAAGAATTTCTTCTTTGAAAAGTGTCACCAAAATTCTTCAGAAGAAAGTAATCATGTCCATATGCTTGTTAAGATGGCTTCAGCGTGGTACTGCAAAATTAGATTAAATCATATAGCACGGCAGAAGACGGACCGGATAAAATAGATTAAATCATATAGCACGGCAGAAGACGGATCGGATAAAATAGATTAAATCATATAGCACGGCAGGAGACGGACCGAATAAAAGAAGGCAAAACTGTCTGCAAGAAGCTCACAAAATTAATCTATTTTTATGGAGATTAGAGAAAAGCTGTCCTCGTCATATATTTTAGTCTGTCTGTACATTTTGTTATGTGCTTGTCAGAAGTTGTGACCATGAACATTTTTCTGATATTTGCAGACAGAACATAACATATGAAGAGGCTTCCTTTTATTGGGCATCCTTTTAAATGTTACTTAGAGCCTGCGTGAACGGGGCCTAAGTATACATTGACGAAGCTCTTTATCCTTGAAGTTTGACCCCAACATACAGGATGCTACACTAAGTTGTAAATGGAGTTTTAAACAGTCAGGCACTGTTTCATATACTGTTACATATATGTTACTATCTATCCCTTAGAGTCTGCATGTACGGGACCTAAGGTGATATTCTAACATTTATGTAAGTGAACACTTGATAAAGTTCAGAGTAAAAGTTACAACATACTAAATGCATATGCAACCTTCTCAGTTTTCTGAAATATATTTGATGACAAATTTCTTGATAGGTTGATGTTACATTGAAGAAAAACATAAACTATCTTAAAACTAAAATCATTTTGATATGTTATTGCACAGATAAGCTGTATTGTTGAATCCCAGCAGTATGGGGTTTTCGGTTTGTTTGTTCTATTTTGTTCCTCGCAGGTACTCATTTTCTCTCTGCGGTTGAGTTCCTGCCAGTTCACCCCCAGTTTCAGCTGCTGAACATCATCAGCTTATCTGAAAGTAAGATTTAAAAGACCCTATCATCTTTGGTGATCTCATGCCTACACAACATCCTTTGTTCTAATGGTGAAATTAATGTAAGCTGATCTTTTACCTGCTGACCTCTATAACTTTATTCCTGTTCCTAATTACAAAGAAACACCTGTGCAGAGGAGGTGTTTTGAAGGTGACAGTTTCTGCTTATCAAGCAACAATTGACAGCTACAATAAAGCCTGATTCATGCTTCTCAGTCAGCTCCAACAGGGAGAGACACGCACGGACGGAGACGTTTAGCTCTCATACTTCTCCGTCTCCTGGGGAGTGTTGCAAAGCAATTCCCGGACCAGACAGCAGAGGGCAGAGAGCTGTTCTGTGGTATCCTGTCATGTATCGGTCCAAAATAGTGTGATGATATTGTGTTTTTTGTATATAAGAGACTTTTTAACAGATACATTTGTCTCATTCTCCTACACCTCTTCATGGGCTCGCCACCTCTAAACCCACGATTCCTGTCATTTCCGTCTACAAATAAAACACTTGCTGTGCATCATTTCACTCCTCCAGTCACGGGGAATAAAAACGTTCAAGTTTTTAGAGATTTTTTGCGAGGTGTTCTTCAAGTTTCCCCATGTCTGTCGCTAGTTATCCTCAGCTCTTTGTTTTTGAGTGCGCAATGGCGGCGCCGTAGACGACAACGGCATGCTGACCAATCACAAGCTTGCGCTGTCCGTCTCGTTAAACAGATGTTTAAAAAAGTGGGCTCGACTCCGTGCGTACTTGCGTGCCTGCTGGGCACTATGCAAGGACGGATAATGGAGTTGTGTGTCTCCGCACTGACGCAGGAGAAGCATGAATCAGGCTTAAGATCAACCCTCCTATATTCATGAAACCAAAGAAGTCCAATTGCCTTCTTTAAAAATCCATTTGATGTCATACTGAACAACTGTTGTATTTGATTCTAATTTGAATGATTCTGTTTCAGGTGGAAATGCTGTGTGATTCCTGTGTCCTGTGGCCCATGACCTGTGTCAGCCCGGTTCTGGATATGGCCTTGCTGAGTTCTCTGTAGCAAGGTTTTCTGGCGCTTGGGGCCGTTCCAGAGTGCACCTGGTCCTTGGCGGTCTCACACTTCATATCCCAGCACACGCACGAATACATGCTTGTTGATGTTTGTTGTTCATGATGTTTGTGGTTCATGGTTTACATGTTTATAGTTGTTCATCCCACGTTTTCTTGATGACTCTTAGAAATGTTTCTTCACAGGTGCAGCTGCTGGTTGCTGTTTTTATGTTGGTTTCCTAGTTG